CATGATGCAATTCACTCTGCCAAAATTTTGGAAATGGCATGCTGTACTGCTTGGCATTCACACTCCAATACAAACATTTCAGAGTTTTTGGGTGTCAATCTGAGGACAGTGCAGAGGATTCGGATATAGTTGGAAGAGTCTAATGGTGATTACAAAGGTGTTGATGTTTGGAAAAACTCCCCATTCATCTTCCATGTTGTTGAGGGCCTCAGACTCAACATGGAGGCCTACATCAAGTGTCTTGAGGAAGGAAGTGCTGCCCTGCATCAAGACGGTGGCTGCTGGAAGACCCTATGTTTGGTAAGAAGACTTTGCACTATGCCACACAAGCAGAAGAACCCAGGCATGGTTGTCAATTTCTGCAACCATATCATTCCTTACATCTGGACACCTAACTCACTGCAACCTCCTCCTTGATTATTATGTGTGGGGCGCAGTTGGATGTGAGACACCAAAAATGAACTGAAAGCAAGGCTTATAGCAGCATTCATGAACTTAAACAAGGAGACCGTCCAGAAGAGTTGCAGGAGATTCCAAAGTTGTCTGAAGGCAATGTTGATTTTATTGAATAAATCTACTCTTTAGTATTTCAAGATATTTTTGGCCTACTTTTGGTAAACATATCTGTTAAAATGAGATGTCAGTATTATTTTCATTTTTTCATAATTCAAACGACAATTTATCCATCGCACGCGGTGTGTGTGTGTGTGTGTGTGTGTGGTTTAGAAACCAAACAAAATGGAAAACTGTTTAATTAACTTTGCCTTCGTTAGATTGCCTTCTTCAGGTCAGAACAAAAAAACAAAATATATTGTATTCTAATCACAGCACCTCTATTGTTTTATTTTCCTTTTGTTTGTCCCCTTGCTTTTTAATTTAGGTACATTTTAGATTAGTAACCATTTTTTTGCCACTTTCCATTTAGCCCATAGTAATTACTAGAATGTCACCATAAACTAGAAGCACAAAGCTTCCTACTTTCTTATCCTCCTAAATCTGCCCCCCCCCCAATGATAGAATCACTAATACATATGTGTCTAACCTTTTCCTTTCTATATTGGTCTCGTTTAATATCATACTATTTGAACATTTGTTTATGGTTGCCACCTTTGTACAAATTTATTCTTGCTGCCCTGCTTTGTCATGCAGAACCAATCTTGTCCTCAATGTGTTGACTGTTTAAACATGGTTCTCAGAAAGGAAGAACATTACAAATGTTCTTCATTTTTGAGAACTTATCACTGCAAACATAATTCCTGTAAGCAAAAATTTTAGTATGGTTGGTCAGTTGAAGAACTGAACTAGTGTACCCACATATGTAAAAAAAATGACATGAGAGCCCAGTTTGTGTGTGTGTGTGTGTGTGTGTGTGTGTGTGTGTGTGTATATATATATATATATATATATATATATATATATATATAAAAAGAATAAAAGCTATTTGCTAAAATTTTTATTTATTTGTTTTTTCTTTTCATATATATTTTGGTCTATTACACAGATATTGAACAATTTAAACATTCGCTAGAAACCATGATGGTCCAAAAACAAAGAAAATTATTTTCAATGGTCTTTAAGCAAACTTGTATAAATGGAAAATTGCTGCCTAAATACACCTCATTATATATATATATATATATATATATATATATATATATATATATATATTTCTTTTCATTTTTCCTTTCAGCTTTTGGAAGTAAAGTCTGATGATCCAGAACCCTGTTAAAGGGGTTATGGTGAAATAGCTTATTACATGGAATCTTAACGTAGTCTGTCTTTTATTCAAACATATCTGCTCTGAATTTCACATTGAGGTCTGATATCATCCTACCCAGGTCTACCCATAATATATATATATATATATATATATATATATATATATATATATATATATATGAGAAAACTAAATAGCATGATCAAGTTTATTGCTCATTATAAAAAGTAATTCCCAATGATCAATCAATGTATGCAACACTGCATAACTTTTGTACTCTTTAGAATAAAGCCAAGGAATTTTCTGTTACATAATCGCACTCATTTGTGTCTACTACTATGTCCATGTGCCAGGTATAAATAAAAAGACAAACTATCAAGTAGTCAGTCCAATTAGAAGACAGCATAACAATCCCAGTCAAGGTAATAAGAGGAGTTAGTAAGAAATCTTCCTGTGTTTAATTTATTTCCCGTCGTACAAAATCTGTCTTCATAAGAATAAACTGGACTAATAAAGAAAAAATATTTGTAAAACACCTCAACAATTTTTGGAATATAAGATTTTTGTCTTTATACTTTATCTGCTTTCTGTTCTTTTTATTTCTGGAATAGCTGAATATTTTTTTTTTTTAAAAGCCACCTTACTACTAGCCTTTTACTATGGCAGGGAGAGGTTATTTAAAATGCTTTTAGCATAAACTGATCTGATAACAAATTTAACAGTAATCAATTCTTAAAAAAAAAAAAAAAAAAAAGTTGATATTGTTTTAAGCAGTTTAAGAAGTGGCAAAAAAATTTAGAAACAACTTTCATAAAAGGTGTAGGGGTGATCATTTTTTAATATTTGACCAATAGAAAGAAATAAAAAATAATACACATCATGAAGTGATAATTTCTCAACTGTTTAATGTTCTGAATGTGAATCATGTCAAAAAATCATTAAATTAATGAAAGATGACTTGCAAGAATGCATTTAACAAAAGTCCATTAGGACAACCAGATGTTTAAACAGTAAAAGTCAACAACACTTATAGTGAAAACATTCCCACTGTTAAGTACAAATATGGTTTTCAGGTTATTTTTCTTTACCGAGTTTAAGGTATCACCAAGTTGAAAATGGATATGCCTTCATGATTTTTCTCCATATGGTTAAAAATTTTGGACATTGAAAATTGATTTTCCTTAGTTAATCATGGTATTTCAGCAGCAAAATAAAAAGTGGGGCTTGTTTGAGATTTTTAAGAAAAAATGACCAGATGGATAACAAGAGAAAAATTAAAGTTTATATCAATTCTATTTGATTAGAGTTGTGGAAAAGGACTTTATGTCTACAATAGAAACATTCCTCTCAAAGTCCACATTGAATATTACGAAAATAAATCGGAAATGAATTTTTGAAACAAGATCTACAAAGTAACAAAAAAAATGATGCTTCTTTTTCTGATTAATCAATGAAAAAAAAAAAAAAAAAAAAAACTTAACTTTTACTTATTTTGTCTGAAGACGAAACTTAATGAAAACTGAAAAGCAACTATTAGGAAGTCAATCGATTGCATATATTTTTGGCACCTTCCATTTTAGCGTCCGAAATTTGTTTTACTGAATTACCGCCCTTAGATTGCTTTATCTTACCTCATATTCCGAACACAATTTTTTTCTGTAAATAAAAATATAATTCAACTAATTCGAGGTAATTTAGTATTTGACTATGTCAAAAATGTGTTTCGGAAGATAATCAAAATATACTGTCAAAAATAAAAGACTAAAAAGCTGTTTTTTTTGTTTTTTAATTTGATAAAATATTTTTGTTTATTCTAGGTGCTCCCCACAAACCATGAATATTTTGGGAACAAGACCACAGGGAATATTAAGTCGAGGTTGTAATGTAATTAGTTTAAAAAAAACCCACACAACGTTTTGTCATGTTTTTAAATAATACTATTTTATTTAGTACTCCTGGACGCAAAGAGAAACTAGGTTTTTTTTTTTTTTTTAATCAAAAGTTAGATTAATATTGTAAAAAAGGATGGAATTTTTTTTTTTTTTTTTTTTTTTTAAAGACTGTTTTTACTTTTTAATAACAACAAACCTTTTTTGACAATTAAATTTTGTTTTCGACAAGTTTGGGGTCTTTTTCATCATTATGCTCTTTTTTAGCGAAATTGTGACGGATCCTTTTTTTTTTTTTTTTTTTTTTTACACTTTACTCAATTTCAATTGCATTATTAATTACCCGCGTTATTTACGAATTGAAATGTGGTTTCGTTTTTTTTTCTGATCAAATATTTTATGATCGATTCAAATAAAATGGCATAAAAACCTATTTTAGGATGTATTTTATTTCTTGATTCTTATCATTTATGTAAATAATAAAAAAAAAAAATCCTGGAAACATCATTTTTGTAGAAAAATAGTTACACAACTTCCAGCAATGAGAGAGATTTTCATTTAATTATTTAATTTTATCCGGAACTTTAATATAAGATTGGGTTGAACAAAAATGAAACTAAAGTAAAAATGTTTGATGAAAAAGGAATTAATATTCGAATAAACATTTTTTTTTTTTTTTGGTTCATCATTTTTTTTCTTTTTAGTGAAGTTTATGAGATTTATGAGATTAATCAAAAGTTATCCGATTTAAAAATAAAACAGTAAACAAAATTTTAAGAAAAGAAAAAAGAGGAAAAAAATCAAAGAAAAATTACTTTTTTTTAAAAAAAAATTTATTTTTACACTTTTAAAACAAAGTCAATGAATCACGTGGAGGAAAAAAAGGCGAACATTTGAGAAATCATAAAGAGACAGGCGGAAAATATCCCTAAATAAAAATATCAAATATCGAGCTGTCAGGTGTTAATTTCAACAATAAAATAAAGTAACCGATATGATTCAAGACTTTTTTGTTTAAACGGTGGATAACAAAACAAAAAAATAAAGAAACTATGTACAAACACAAAAAAACGTAACAATATGGACGGTGTTAAAAACCATGGAAGCAAAGAGAATGACTTCTTGTTTTCACGAAGAAAAATCCCACAAAACATGATGTTTAATTCACTTTAACTCATTTTCTACCGAACAAAAAATTATATCTTCACTAAAATAAAACTTAGTTATCCTGCTTTCAAACAGAAGCATTTTTAAAAAAATCCCAAACCAATAATCTAGTTTTATCCACGATTTAAAAAGATCCGTAACAACTTTCTAAGCCATCACGAAAAACTATCTTCTCGTTTTTTACAAGTGTGGGTAGAATGTTTTGCACATTTTTTAAAATAAAATACCTGCTCTATCTTCTATATCCATGGTGGAGCAGCTGAAGATATGTGCGTGTCGTTCAATCAAATTGTAAATTAAATCCGAACAATTGTTTTTTGTTTCTTTTTTTCCAACTCAACTGCCGCTGCTGACCAAGAAACTGACAACAGCAGCAGGCACAGTTGTGACCGCTTGAGTAATGGCGGTGAAACAATGCCCGACTTCCGGTTTGGTGTCAAGGGAGGTAACTCGTTGTTTTAAAATCTTACATTTGTTTTCTTTTATGTTCTTAAGGATGTGGTCAATCATGGCTCTCCACAACTCCTGTCCTTTGTCGCCCCTTTTAAGCTCTTGCTAAAAGTCTTGTCTTACTGTTACATCCCTTTTCTGCCAACTGTTTACACAACCTCGTTTGATAAGTTACTCGCTGCTTTCTCTGTCATTGTCTGTCTGTGAGTGTCAGACTCTCCAAGCCTTCTTTCCTCATTATCTGCCCTAGAAATTTCAACTGTCTCTTTCTGGTTCTAAGTATGTATCAGTTTTATTTTAATTTTCCCTAAACCTTTGTCGTTGCTCATGTTAAAAACAATCTATAATAAAAATGATATAAAAAAATTACAGAAAATAATTAAAGAATGAATAAAAAAAAATGATGCAATAGATTAGGTTTGTTCATTGTACTTTCTTTTGGAGGGGAATGTTTACAAAAATAAATCTTTTTTATTTTCATTTTCCCTAAATCTTTGTTGTTGCAATGTTAAAAGAATCTATAATAAAAATGTGATGAAAAATTACATAAAATAATTAAAGAGTGAATATATATAAAAAAAATAATAACGCAATAGATTAGGTTTGTTCCTTGCACTTTCTTTTGGAGGGAAGTGTTTAAAAAAAGTAAATCTAAAAAGAAAGCCAGATGGTTAGTTATTTAAAAAAAATGGCTTGATTAATTTATGTGCAAAACACTAGTAGTGTGGGGCTTAGGAGTTAAAAAGAAAAATTGATTTACCCATGCCAAGAAGATTAATGGAGCATGATAATGACGAGGAAACACATGGCAATTTTAACAAAACAAGTTAAGAAATTTATTTAAAAATGTACACAATGTCAGTAGCTGGTTTCAGGAAAATAAATCAGAAAGTCCATAGTTTTAACAAATTGTTATGAAGAGAAAATGTTCATACAACAGATTAAATGACCTAACACAAAATAATATTTAAAAATGTTTAAAACAAAGGTAAGACAGTTTGTTGCTCACCAAAGTGATATACAGTTGCTTATGTTCAAAAGTAGACAAAGAGAGATGGTTTGAATTATTTAGCTTATTTGGATTGTTGAAAGAAAATTCATTAAAGTTCTGTGCTTGGTTAAAAGCCGATAATTGGCGAGTAATTTTCATGGGCGAAAACTTCAATGCTGGACACAGTGAACAGAAATAAAACTTTTCACATGACTTCAGACACTCTCCTCTTATTAATTTAATTTTTCTCTTCATTTTTTTAGCATCCCATTACTACTTTCTTATCAATGTTGAATTTTATTCAGCTTCATACAGATTTTCAGGAAATATAAACTTCTAATTGGTCAATACACACAAGTAGACATTGCAATTCACCCACGTACAAATATTTTTCCAGCGCATGACCAAGTCAAGTTTTCCCGTCAATTTTATCTGATCCTATCACGTGATTACATTAATTATAAATAGCAGACCCTCTCTCTCTCTCTCTGTCTCTCTCTTCTGTTCTCTTTTCCTGCAAAGATTTGACCGTGAAGGATTCTCGTCTCGACCATGGGTTGTCAGACATTAAAAGCATATTCACGCATGCATGTATGTATGAAAATTTTCCAAACTACATTACAAACATACAAAACATTTCAAACAAGCAACAAGAACTTTTCTCTTTGAAATAATCTTCTAAAGCTAAAGTTTATTCAGTATTTTTCAGCTTTATAATTCATTCAACTTTTGTGAGTTCAGATAAAAATATTTCACAGTCAAAGGGACATAACACAAAACTCTATACATGTACATCATTTACACAAAAATAAATATAATGTTGTTTGTTATAAAACCTTTTATTCCTTCTTGTATTTCATATTTTGTGATATTTTATATTAAATATAAATTGTGTGGTCATGTTATTCACGCAGCCATAAGCAGACATCTACAAATAGTCCATTCTTATTAACAGTACCACAACAATTTCTTTCTTTTCATTTTTCTTAGCTCAATGGCTAATCCCTGTGAAGACAAAGTTTTTATTGGTCCAAAAGCAATTTCACATAGGTTTGTGAATTTATTTCTGTCTTTTTCTCAGCTTGCAAGTCAATCTCTGTGAAGGCAAGGTTTTCATTAGTCCAAAGAAATTTTCACATAGGCTCACAAATTACTTTTCATCTTTTTCCTCATTCCCCACAAACTTGAAAGGAGTGGGTAAAGGAAGTTATTATTATTTCACACTCACTCCAAAATTTTGTATATAAGCATAGCTAAAGTGGGTGCCACCCAGGGAAGCCCTTGAGTTTGCTGCCCCAACAAAAAATACATATTGCACAGTGACCCACTCTTAAAGTTTTAAGATTTAAGAAGCAGCAGATGTTTTTATATATAGTACTCAATATTAAAAATATTAAAATAATATTAAAAATAGAGCATTAATAATCTTGGATAAAAAGATTACTTAACTTTTAAATATTTTTTTTATTGTTGTTTTCCACAACTTTAAGGTTTCTTGGTAAAAATTAGAACCCCCTGAAGAACGGGCATTTACCAAGAAACTTTCAAGTCGGGGAAAACAACAAAAAAAATTGATACTTAAAACTTAAGTTGTTGTGGAATTTGAGCTAATTGGATGTATCAGAAGGTGTAATTGTGTGAAGGCTAAAAAATGTGCGTGTTTGTTAAAACATTCATCCACAACAAATAAACAAACATTTGAAGGCAATTCAATTAGAAGAAATCAAAGAGAAACAACGTAGTTATAGATTTCAATAAATAACATGCATTTATATACGTTTGATATACACAAAGTGAATTTTAAGATTGCTTGTTCAATATGAATAGTGAGATAAATTTGTAAGGAGTGACGATGCAGTGATTTGGTGCATGAAAGCTTGTAGTTAAGGTTTGTCTATGAAATTAAAACAGTTTGCTTTCTGCAAGGTGAAATGTCACTTGTGTGAGTTCAAATACTAGTGTGTATGTGTGCAACAATTGTAAATATTGTTTAAAGTCATAAGGAGTTATGTGCCTTTGACTGATATGATGTAAGTTGACTAAAAACAATTACTACTTCAGTAGTGAATAATGTCACTTTTTCTAATAAATTGTAAGTTGAGTCAATTCGCGCGGCAAGACTTTCTGAGTTGTGTTGAGCTGCTGAGAGTGAGATTAGCAGTTGTTGAGTCAGTGTGCTGATGCGCGTGGAGTTTGCTGGCATCTCTCAAAGACTTAGTTACTGACTGGTATGCTGAGGTTGATTAAATGTACAATTACTATGTCATAATGGTAATGTCACATTTTTAGTCAATTGTAATTTAAGTATCTTCATGCGACAATAGCTGTGTGGGTTGTGTTGAGTTGCTGAAAGAGAGTGGCAGTTGCTGAGTCAGTATGTCAGCACACATGGTGGTTGTTGAGTCAGTGTGTTGGCGTGTGTGTAGAGTTTTTTGGCATCTCTTTTTATTAGTTACTGACAATATTTAGTTATCCCACTATTATAACATATGTGACACAAGGTCGGTTATATTTATTATGGAATTTTGATCGCCCATTTTGCTCAGTCCAAAAATATTTGCCATTTAGTTACTGACTGCTTGAAACAAGTCAAGTAAATTCTATTTATTGACTTTTGGATTTCAAACCAGCTCCAGATAAGTGAGTGAGAAAACAGATTTGTCATAACTTGCTACATTTTTTTTGTTCTTTTAACCAATATGAAGTCAAGTTTGAAAAAGTGAAGTGATGATTGGTTAAAGCTGGTTTGGGAGAAAAGTGCATTTTTTAATGGATCAACAACAGGCAAATATGGAGGATTTTATATAAAATGTATATAATTTTTTATATAATATTATATATATATATATGTATGTGTGTGTGTGTGTGTGTGTGTGTGTGTGTGAAAATATATAGAAAATAGGAAGGAACTGGTTAGGTAAATAATCCAAAGTCCCTTAGTATTTTAGTTATTATTTTTAAAAAATAGTGCTCGATACAAAAGTAGAGCATAAATATAATTATTTATTTAAAAATATGATTCCAAAACGCTACATAAGAAGTCTCATGTTTCAAAACAAGAGCCGAAAACTTCAATATAATTATTTAAATTAAATTGAGTTAAAATAAGCTCTGTTCCATCTTCAAGCGAAATTTTTTTGGAATAACGTATTTCTGAAATTTACGTGTTTTAAAAATTGAAATCAAAATTTCCATGGTAACAGCTAGGGCGAATTGTTTAAATTGGGTAGGCGTGTGTTGGGTGTTAATAATAAGTATCAGTATAGAGTTACTTTCATAGATGTCAAGTCAGGGAAAGGTAGGGGTGTCTAAATTTTTTAAACGGAAGATGTATTAACCCTCGTCTAGTTTGCATGTCTATGGAGATTTATTTATTTTTTTTTTTTTTTTTTTTTTGAAAGGATTTGTGCATATAAAAAACTTCGTAACGTTTGTTTTTTTTTGACGACTTCATAAAGGGTATATTTTTTTGTAGGTATTTAAACTATTTATTTGGGCTATGGATTATGAAGGGTGTTATATTGTATGCATGTTTTTAGTTAATTATTCAAACCATGAATCTGATGATTGGGCTATGGATTAAACAAGTTATTATATTTTATGCTTTTTTTTTTATAGCATATATATATAATTCAAACCAAAAATCTGATGATGTCTACAAAAAACCGTTAACTCGTGTCTATTGTTTAATAAATTATTATTATTTAGAAGCTTAATAATTTGTATAAATTTTTCATGGAGGCACAAAGGGCATATAAGTCATCCCAAGTTTTACATGTTCTAGTTTGTTTATAATTTTCCATTTAACTTTAGGTGTCCTATTTGTTTCCTTCAGATGCCAAAAATATTTAGATAGGGAAGTCTGATTTCTTTTTGTTTATATTTGTTTTATATTATTATTTATTATTGCTCTTTCAATATGACTGAGATTATAATAAAAGTTTGATTCCTCCAATATTAAACAAACTGTTAAAGAGGTCACGTTAGATGTCCTATCTTGAAGGTTAACTCAGAAAAATTGCAACGACAAACATTTTTTATGGAAAAATTTATTTGGCTATATGGTACCTAATAAAAGTCCTTGACATAAAGAGCTGTACAATAAGATGACAACTATACAACAGCTATGTAAACCCCTTGTATTCATATCAGTTTATACCCTGCTCATTCCAAAGAATGGTAGCCTTAGGTAATCTTGATGCATGATTTCATTTCTAAAGTTCCACTGTAATTGACTTTTGAAGATAGGTGAAATGACTTTACATAGTTCAAGGGTTTGTCTTCTACTTTCATGGCCTCTGGAAATTTAATAGACTGGTGGTTTTTAATTTAATTTTAATTTTTCTGGATTAGGAATTTGTTGGTGTACAAAATCAGTTTTCTTTTTATGCTAAGTGTAAGACCAAATGCTTTATATGCAGCAGAAGATAAATATTTATTAGATGTTGGGCCTTTTCAAAGGATGTTTTTTCAAGAGCTGCATCATTTAAAAACAAATATATATATATATATATATATATATATATATATATATATATTATTATGGAATATATATATTTTAGACAAATATAAAAAAATAAGTTTAAGACTTAAATAGAGTTTATTAACATTTTTTTATAAAACAAATCCAGAAAATTCATAATTTTGGTCTGAATATAGGAAAGCAGGTTTAAATAATGTTTAAATAACTGAATATTTTCTATGAAAAAATCAAGGAGAAACAGCCGGTAAATTTATATTTAATACTGTTTAAAGAAAACAGAAAAACTAAAATACTTGGTATAGAACAAAAAAGAATGTTAAATATAAAAAAGTTATTAAAATATATATATATATATATATATATATGTAAATTAGTTGAATAAATGATTATAATATTACTTTCACAGAATCAAATATATTATGAAGTAAATATATATATAAAAAATACTTAAAAATACATAGTAACAGTTAAAAAACAAAATATAAGAAAAGTGTAAAAAAATTAGGACCATCTTCATTTCTGAAAAAAAAAAATAATAAAACTTTCTTCAAAGTAACTTTCTTGTTTTTTTGTTCTTCAATGACATCGTCAAAAACTATTTCATTTGTCAATTCAAGTCTCTAGATTAGGTATGTCAAGATTTCTCAACCAAAAGGTGCTTATAGTAGATCTTAAGCAATTTAAAATTAGTTTTAAGAATAAAGAAGGTTTTATATTATTTAAAGATTATATTTTTTTTTCAGTTCTTTATTCCAAGAATAGTGACAGGACTCCAAAGAGTGTGAGTTCAATGTGTGGTTATGGTGGTGGAGAACTTGGGAAGAATTAACAGGAGATAACTGAAAACTGACATCCATTAGACATGGCATGGAACTAAAACAGTTTAATTTGAGCAAGTGAAATAAAGGGCTCAGTTCGAAGAACCAATCACCTGAAGAAGCAACAGTGTACAATGGCTTCAAACATTGGTAAATATGGCAACAAATATGAGACAATAGTCCAAACAATGTAAATAGTGAATAAAATAATTCATCTCAGAAATATAGACAGGTACTGAAATAAAAACGTTGTAATAAATATGGCAAACATTAAATTGGCTACAATAGTC